TTGCAGTGAAACAAACATCACTCTAATATTCCCTTAAATTCGCATAGGAAACTCATCATTTCGACAACATCGCCATTTGGACGTTAACTGGCGACAAAATTAAGTAACCAATGACAATAAACTCTGGCGAGATTGAAGCTCTATTTGAAGGAAACCCCCAGCGGACGTCAGGACAATTTCTGGAAATTTGCATATGCGTGTCCTTCTGCATTAGAATGATATGAATCCTCACGATTCTTGACGCTGGGATATTCGATACAATTTTACATTCACCCTAAGATAAGTAACGCATCAAATATATCGAATTATCAACTTGTTTCAACAACAATGCGTTATATTCGTGAGAAAATTACTTGGCGCACTTGTTATGAATGCGTTTCCGTTCCTCAGTAGTAATTTCACATCAATGATTCTGCATATGTGATTAGGTATTATAATATGCTGGCCGTAACCAGTCGATGACGCTGCTAAAATTAGAATTTTCTCAAAGTAAAAATAATAACTGTAAGCTTATAGGACTAGTCTGGCTTATTTTTACATAATCTGTTACTAAATTATCAATACTACAAGAAACTTGTTTCTAATAAGAAGTTCTATAATAACTGTTTCAATAACTTAAATTATTAAAACAGAAATTAACAGAAATAATTTAGACATATATGTTTGAATTTTAAATTTTTAGCATGATATACATTTTTCATAGTTTTTTTTTCCTTTCTATTCCTACTATTAGTTCATACTTATATTATATACATACTTATATTTTTATATTCATACACTTGTTTAAACTTTCAATCGTTAATAAAATACTTCTTATTCATCTACTCAATAATACATTTTTTAAATTTGTAGTTGATGATGTTAATACAGTTTTTTCAAATATTAATTCATTAATTAAATTTAATTAAATCTAATTAATATCCTGCTAAATATTATATCCTGCTAAATATCTCATATAAGAGAACTTTTCTTTTCTCCCATGTAACAGGATATAATATTATATGGGAGAAATTTGTTTTCTCTTACATGAGATATTTAACAGGATATAATATTAGCATAGTTTTTTTTTTCAATTCCTACTATTAGTTCACATTCCCCCTATATATATTTCTATATCTTGTTCAAATTTTTATTCGTTAATAAAATACTTTTAATTCATCCACTCAATATCAAATAAATTTTTTAAAATTTCTAGTGGATCACACTTGATGTTAATACAGTTTTTTCAAATATGAGTTCATTAATTACATTTAATTAATTTTAGTTTTATATGGGAGAAATTTTTTTCTCTTATATAAGATATTTAGCATGATATAAATAATATTTAACAGGAATATATTAAGTAACTAAAATGTTTCTTTGTTGGCCTTGTGGGGATTTAATCTTAGACTATGTCAACCTTCATCTATCAAAAGGTATACCTCATGATAGAATCAAGTTAACATGTCTTATATACTAGTGAATTGGTATTTAATATTTATAGTGGTAGTTACGCTACATTACTCCCCTTCCAGAATTTTATCTGTGATAGACTAGTTTATGTATTAACTTAAATTTTTGCTCATTATATTTTTTTATTTTTTTCTTCCAATCATTTCGCTCGTTATTATTATTTTTTTTATAGCTTTTCGCTGTTTTTTCCCATCATTTTTTTAAAGCTTTTCGCTATTATATATTTTTTTTCTAGCATTTCGCTCATTATTATTTATTAACCAGGAGACTTAATTTACTTCACCGGATTTTTTTTTTTAAGCAAATCAACTGTTTAATGTGGATTCATCCATCAATATTGACAATTTCTTATCACTTCCGTAGGTCACCAATGTGGGGATTTAATTTTAGACTATGTCAACCTTCATCTATCAAAGGGTATACCTCAAGATAGAATCAAGTTAACATGTCTTATAAACTAGTGAATTGGTATTTAATATTTATAGTGGTAGTTACGCCACAGCCTCAATAGGAATTGACTTTAAATTTCTTTTTTTTTTTTAATATTACTTGTTTTAACTAATTTTTAACGAGCTTGAAAGGAACTGTAATAACTCTACATGTATGATTAGGTAATATATGCTAGTTATGTCAGCTGATGACAATGCTACAATTAGAATTTTCTCATGCTAAACCGGATAATCATTGGATTACATTAACCAGACAATCCTAGGAAACTAGTCAATAAATTAGTCAATCCTGGGATGGCCAAGGATGCTAGGACCGATCAATCCTAGGATTAACTAAACCAGCCAATTGGATTAACCAAAACAGTCAATCTTAGAAAACTAAAACATTCAATCCGAGGACTAAACAGGACAATCATTGGATTACATTAACCAGATAATCCTAGGAAACTAGTCAATAAACTAGCCAATCCCTGGATGACCTAGGATCGAAGGACCGATCAATCCTAGGATTAACAAAACCAGTCAATCCTAGGACTAACTAAGCTAGTCAATCCTGGAACTAAACCGGACAATCATTGAATTTCATTTACCAGACAATCCTAGGAGACTAGACAATAAACTAATCAATCCTTGGAAGACCTAGGATCCTAGGACCAATCTATCCTAAGATTAACTAAACTTGCCAATTGGTTTAACTAAAACAGTCAATCTTAGAATTAACCAAACCGGTCAATCCTAGGATTAACTAAACTAGTCAATCCCAGGATTAACTAAACTAGTCAATCCCAGGATTAACTAAACTAGTCAATCCTAGGATTAACTAAACTAGTAAATCTTAGGACTATACAAAGAAATGTAGATAAATTGCTTTGGTTTATTTTTACATAACCTGTAACTAAATTAACAAAACTGTATGAAATTCGTTTCGAATTAAGTTCGATGATAATTATAAAACAGATGTTAACAGAAATAATTTAGACATAAATGTTTGTATTTTAAAACTTTTGAGTGATATATATTTTTCCTTTTTTTCTGATTTTTTTTAATAATCTTTACTTAACTTGTAATTGCTAAAAGAATTTTAATGACTTTGCATGTATAATTAGGTTTTGTAATCTGATAATTATGTCGGCTTACGACAGTACAATTAGAATTTTAATCTATAAAATAATGTGTATAAATTATTTTGGTTTATTTCTACATTTATTTGTCATTTAATTATGAATACTGCAGTAAAATTGTTAATAAAGTTCCATTATAATGGACCGAAAGCAATTAACAGAAATAAATTTCTGATACTTACATTAAAATTTAAACACGCAATACATTTTTCTCTCCCCCCCCTTCCTTCGTTTTTTGGAGATGAATTTGTAATTTTCAAAAAAAATTCATTTGTAAGCATTTTGATTTTAGTGATTCAAATAAATTTGAATATATCTGAATTACATAAAGTTTTCCAGTATATTGAAATCGTATTTCTTACACTCTGCTTCTTTTTTTACTACCAAATCTTTAAATTATTTATGATTGTCATAAAAACACTGGTTAGAATATAGTAGAAAAATTAGGTGATTTCATACAATCTATGACAAGTTTATCAAGGCTGAAATACTTTTATTCTTAAAGTTTGATGTAATTGAAAAACGAAATTATCTGAGATAGTTCATACATTTATATTCTAAAATTTTAGTGCGTAATATATTTATTTCATGTTATTCGTTTAATCTTTTGCGAATTTGTAATTTTCAAGAGAAATTTATTTATAACTAAATGGAATTAGTTATATATTAAAAACTAAAGAACTTTTTTAATGTATTCTATACCTATTTCATTTAGTACTAAACTTAACCAAATAAGTTATTTATAATTGTTAAAGCAATTTTATTTTAGAGTGAAATACATGATCAGCCTTAAAAAAGAAATTGATGTGTATATCTTTCTTTTTCGAAAAATAAAAATATTTGATCGGTTTTAAAATTGCTATTTTTCTGAAAAAGCTTACGTAGCTTTTTATAAACGGGTAATCATTTCCGTATTAAGATTAAAAAAAAAAAAAGCTGATATATATATTATGATCAATTAATACACAGAGATAAAAACGCAATCGCTAGTATTTTAATATTACTAGTTAATTGCTAGAACTTAACTTTAATAAGAAATAAAACTTCTCTTTATTTAATTTTATTCATTTATTTATTTAATATCTTCAGAAAAATTCTTTAAGGATTTCTTTTCTGAAATGAATCATTTAAATGAGAAAAGAACCCAATTTTTTTTTAAATATTTATTTTAATTATTATTATAAATTTTCCTGTGACATAAATTCGTATATTCCACGCTAAAATTTAACTGTTCGAATTAAATAAAAAACATTTATTTCTAGAAGTTATTTGCTTTAAAAGGTAATTTTCTTGCTTTGAATCTCATTTTATAGGACATTAAAATTCTCACAACCATAATAGCGATCTTGCAATAATAAAACCGAATAAATCTTTTTATGATTGAAATACTTCTACGAAAGAATGTTTATTTCAAAGAAAACTATTTTATACCTTGTATAAACCATTCCCACCAATAAATAACAACTACACATATCAACGCAGACAGTAATCAGTCAGCGGGCTCTTTTTATGTCTGGAAATTGATAGTTTAACCTTACTTATCCAAGCATGCAAGATGGAACAGACGAATCCCCGCGAGTCAAATCAGACGAAAGCAATTAACTATTCATACCATTATCACGGTCAAATAAAATGGAATTACTCTCTTCAAAGGTAAGGCAACTATCATTGTATTTCATACAAAAGATATAACGGAAACAATGTTTTCAAACACCCCTCCTTTAAATCATAGACTTTAGATAAATAGGTACTTGTCATCAAATTCTGACATGTCAGTCGGCATGCCCCATGAATAAATTTAAGCATTTGAAATCGTGTTTTCATTGTACAATTTTTAACATAAAAATCAGAGGAAGATGGTGACCGCACATTGGACAAATAAATCACATGGTGTGATCTAGTTTTCTCACATGAGGATTCTAATTTTTTTGGTTGTCATCAGCAAAAAATTAATAATAGTTATTATGGTGTTGCTTACCTGTTAAATATTCCTTCATCTCTAATTGGATGCCTGCAAGTGACGTCATCGCAAATAAAATATGGCATTTGTCGATTCAGAAGCTAATCAGGTTCCGACAGACATGCGTAACGTATCCAATTAAATATGATTTAAATTACATGTGGTTAGGTATATTCACTTCACTTTTCCACGAATTGCAAGTACCCAATTGAAAGAACCTGCAATATTTTTTTTGGAATAGATCAAAATCAAAAACGCAGTTTGCAGATAAATATATATTGCAGATAATTAATTATTTTACAATTAGAGATAAATATTACAGATAATTATCTTACAAATAGAGATAAATAAATATTGCATATAATTATCCTACAATTAGAGATAAATAAATATTGCAGATAATTATCTTATAATTTGAGATAAATAAATATTGCAGATAATTATCTAACAATTAGAGATAAAGAAATATTTTGTAGGTATAATACCTCCATAACTGTAATAAATTTTATGTGGATGAGAACTAATGACACCTGGATCTTCATGTGAAAAAACTGGATCATACAATGTGATTTATTTTGTCCAATGAGAATGCTCTAACCGGTCATCATCTTTGCATGATTTTTATGTTAAATAGAGAAACATTGTACGATGAAAACTGCTAATCAAGATTTTGATTTCTATTTCAAATTAAAGAATTAAAAGTACAGACGGTATTGCTTTATTATAAAGCAATCCTGTGATATTGCCTTATTGTGTGTGTGTTTTTTTTTTATGATAAAAATATCTGAATCAACATCTGTTTCACAGTAATTAAACAGTAAACAAATGAAATTTACTTTTATTATAAGCTTTTTGTGTAAAATTGTGCCCAATAAACATATGCAATTAAGGAGAGTTTTTATTGTTATCAAAAATTAAAAACGAATTTAAAAATCAAGTTTGTTGATGAAGTTGAAAGAAGCAAATTCCGTAAACGTATGTACAAAAAACGACACAGCTCGAAATGCGTGTTTACAAAAATATACTTTGTTCAAAATACGTGCTTACGATACGTGCTGGACACAGCTCAAAATGCATGTTTGCGAAAATGTATTTAGCTCAAAATACGCCCTTGCGAAAATGGACATAGTTCGAAATGCGTGTTTGCGAAAATATACTTAGCTCAAAACACGCCCTTACGAAAATGGACACAGATTGAAATTTCGTTTGCAAAAATGGGCACAGCAAAAAATATTCCTTTTCAATTTTTAACCAAAATTTAACTTGCTTAATTTTCCTTACTTCTTTAAGCACTAAGCATAACCATTACGGGGCAAAATCTCGGATTTCGGTGCGGGAAAGGCTAGATATATTACAGATGTTGTTACTTTTCAGGTGTTGTCTTCGTCTTTAGAACTCTAACCGATAAAGTGAGTCTTAAAACTTGAAAATTTATGCCACGTAAATTTACCACCATTATTATAAATTTATAGCACACGTGGAAACCTCGTAAAAGCAACTCTACTTTAAAGTTTTTTCTTTTCTTTGAAAGAAGAACTAATTTAATGTTCAAAATGTTTTCTGCAAACTGACGATATCAAATCTTGAATTTATTTGTATTCTTGAGTATATTCTAAAAAAAAAAAAAACATTACTCATAAATGAAGTTTAAAAATTTGTATCAAAGAGTGTGTCCATGCTTTTTGAGATGCGTCCAGATTTAAAAACGACAAAAAAGATTTTGTTTTGAGAAAGGGAGAAAAACTTGTTTGGCGCATTGACAGTTATGAGAAAGGGATAATTGTCGCCAATTATGACATTTCCGGCAACCCTTGATTCCTCGTCAAGTCATCAGAGAGGCGATTCCCCAATGCATAATTCGAAGCCAAGAGCGCCGTTCTTGTAACGGTAATTATTGGCCAGTGATAAAGTCAACGGTACTATCTCTCTCTATTTCTCTCGCTCTTTCGTTTTGGCATCTCTTGTCATAAATATGAGCGACGTATATGCCCTCTGTTTTCCTCCATGTGTTACGTTTTGGCAATACCACCAAAAACAGGGGATCAATTACAAATAATTTCATTGCTGTATATTGATATAGTGTAAAATTTGAAACAATGTATATTATGAAAGTGTAACAAGGAATAAAAAAGATTTCAAACATTCAATATTTTAGAGTCTACTAAATTTATTTTGTGCATAAAATGTTGCGATTTTTATTTAAAAATATAGTGTTCGCTTAGGACTTCGGATTTCAGGATCTGAAAACAGGCCTCCCTATAAAGCAACCCGGGTTCGAATCCCAGCAGTTTCTAATTGGTACGAATTCTGCTCCAGGCACGCACTGGATCTGAAAACAGGCCTCCCTATAAAGCAACCCGGGTTCGAATCCCAGCCGTTTCTAATTGGTACGAATTCTGCTCCAGGCACGCACTGAACACAGTGTTGACATATAATACTCTCAGTGGTAGATTGATCGGATTGTTGGAATCCTCTTGCCGTCGAACTAACCATAAAAGTTTTTCGTGGTTTTTCTCTCCAGGCAGCTCAAATGCGGGTAAGTGACATCGAAAAATCCTTCAGGAGGACTAATTTGTCCCAATGCTTGCAATGCAGGAGTTCCCTTGTCTTCCGGGTTGGGTTTGAAATTACAAGACTACAGAGGTAAAGATCGTTAACTCAGAAATGAGTCGGCTGTTCAACACCGGTTATAAAATAAAGTAAAGTCAGCCTACGATGGAACACTTGCTCCCAATTGAGATGACCCACGTTCGAATCTCAGCGATGACTGGTCGGTACGAATCTTGCTTCTGGCTCGCCCCGAATACAGCGCTTACGATAAATATTCTCAGTGGTTGAAGGATCATTGGATTAGAATCCCCGTTCTGTTGGGTTAACCGAGATAGGTTTTCGTGATTTTCCATTCCATGTAGCACAAATTAAAATTTCCACCATAGGCGTCCCCCACGAAAACTAGTTTGTCTCAAACTTGATCCAGGAGATCTCGTCTTCTGGATTGGGTTCATAATTACAAGGCTATGTTGTTGGACATTTTTAGTGTTTAAATCAGAATTGAGACGACTGTTCTACGACGGTTGTAAAATTAAAAATTAAATTAGTCGACGGCATTTACATACTGCAGAAAATTAGTAACCTATCTCCTTGCGGCCAAGAGTGAAAATTCTGAATGCTATGCTATAGCGCAATGTTAACAGTCATTTCTAAATATAACAATTGGCTACTAAAAAAAAGTTGTCTGCTAATAGCCAGCCAATCACCGTTTTTTCGCCAAATTTTTTTTTATCTTTTTGATTTTTTTTCCATCTATGTACTTTTTATGATAATCTGAAAATTGCTTTCCTCACGCGTATTTCTTCATTTTAGAAATAAATATTATAATGTTTACCATATTTTGAGAAAAGCTTCAAAATAAATAACTTAAAAAATAAATACCTTAATATGATAATATAAACATTCATTTTTTTCAACCGTTTTAAATTATAGGAAAAGTAGCCACCTTTTAAGAACTGGCCACATTTAAAAATGCTACAACTAGCCTGTAGCAAAATTTCCCAATTTTTCCCAATCTATGCTGTTTTTTGATTATTATCATTTGCTAGTAAGAAAAATTATCTTTTCCGTGAAGTTTTTCCTAACGGGAGGACAGATAATAAAAAAATTACAAATTTCTAATAAAATTGTAAATTTATAAAAAAATTAGAATTTTATAATAAAATTGAAAATTTATTAAAAAATTACAAATTTATAATAAAATTAAAAATGTATGATAAATTTAAAAATTTTTTTAACTAAGTTTTTTACACATTCTAAAATTAAATTTTTTTAATTTACAGAAAACTTAATTGTAGTAATATTTATGTTTGAGAATGAATTATAAAGTTTACATTTTAGAGTTATTAATTTGTTTTTGAGAATTTATTGTAAAATTTATTATAAAAGAACTTACTGAAAAATTTAATCTTTAGTTGTTATTTAAAATTATATACTTAGTTTTTATTAGTAAAATATACTTTTTAGAACATACTGCAGGCATTTAATTTGAATAATTAAATGCGATTAACTTTGAATAATTTGATTGGCATTTTAATTGGCAATTGATTGGCAATTGATTGGAATTTTATAATAAAATTGAAAATTTATTAAAAAATTACAAATTTTTAATAAAATTAAAAATTTATGATAAAATTAAAAAATTTTTTAACTAAGTTTTTTACACATTCTAAAATTAAATTTTTTTAAGGCTACAGTGGACCTTTATATTGCCAAAAATTGATAAAAATTTCGTTTTTTTTTTGGACATATTTAGACACTTGTTTCATTGCTTTTTCAACTGAATTTCTTTTTTTTTTAAATTTCGTCATTTTTTGAGAAGTTATAGGGTAGTTTCGTTTTCACATTATGAAGCCGCGTCCCTTTTCTTACACACAAAGCTGTTTTTCTCAAAATTGAAATTTTGTTTTGTTTCACGTATTCAAAATGTTCCAGTCGACTTTGTTTTCATCCTATTGAGATGAAATTTTTTTCTAGTTATTTATATGTATATTAGATTAAGTTTATGCATTTGTTTCTGTTTTATAACAAGTAATAAAAGAGTTATCGGGTTTCATGTACCTAACGACCTTTATTTTGAAACAAAAATCTACATAAAATTTGTTTTTTGGTCATAAATTTAAAATAAATTTAGGAAAATTCCTATATAATGCATAAAGCTTTTAACATTTATCTCTAAAAAAAGAATATTAAAAAAAAATAAATAAAAATTTTAATTTAAGCCGCTGGGAGCATTTAAAAATTTATGAAATTTTTTTTAAAAAATTTTAAATTTCTCAAAAATGGACCAAATATTTTGGACAAAAATTTTTGCAAGGGCATATCTTGATAGAATACATAAGTTATAAAAAAAGTTTTAGTGTAGCATAAAAATTAAAAAAACTTTTTTTGAACGTCCACTGTAGCCTTAATTTACAGAAAACTTAATTGTTGTAATATTTATGTTTGAGAATGAATTATAAAGTTTACATTTTAGAGTTATTAATTTGTTTTTGAGAATTTATTGTAAAATTTATTATAAAAGAACTTATTAAAAAATTTAATCTTTAGATGTTATTTAAAATTATATACTTAGTTTTTATTAGTAAAATATAGTTTTTAGGACATACTGCGGAATAGATTCGCATTTTAATTAAATAACTTAGGATTCACAGTATGATTTTAATCT